TTCGAGTGCCACATTCAGTGTGGAGCCTACTTAAGAAAACAAAGGAAATTCCAAGGGTTTTATGAGCTCTGTGCCTCTGTGCCAAGGACAAAGACGAAACATATTCCAATGAAAAACCATGATACCACAACAGATATTGCAATAAAGCATTACAGGGAGTTATTACAATTCTGTTAGAATCTTTGTTTTTGAAAACTGCAGTGTAGCAGAGCAGATATCCAGACATAGAAATAGAAATTTTCAAGATTGTCATATTCATGGGATCCCTGGGTGGCGCAGTGGTTTGGCGCCTGCCTTTGGCCCAGGGCGTGATCCTGGAGACCCGGGATCGAATCCCACATCGGGCTTCCGGTGCATGGAGCCTGCTTCTTCCTCTGCCTGTGTCTCTGCCTCTCTCTCTCTCTCTCTCTGTGACTATCATAAATAAAAAAAAAAAAATTAAAAAAAAAAAAAAAAGATTGTCATATTCAATGGAAAAGAATGCTATTTTCATATAAAGCTTTGGGTGAGCCAATTATTAATGAAGAAGATAATTTCCCCATTAAAATTAGTTTTTCCTTGTAATTACAGATTACAGCAATACAATGCAAAAATGGGCCTATTGAAATATATACAAATTATATACAAACTATGAAGCCACTTGCAGGTTCTTATACACAAGGGATAGGAAATGTCAGAAGAAACATTACAATGTCACTACATAAATTTTCATGGAAAGTTAAATTCACACTCATACATACATGAATGGATTTGTATGAAGGGGTAAATCTTTCTAGATCAGCTGTGCCATGAGAATCATCAAGTCCAGATATAGTAAAATTTATATTTCAAAATAATTGATCAAGGCAGCCCAGGAGGCTCAGCGGTTTAGCGCCGCCTTCAGTCCAGGGTGTGGTCTTGGAGACCCGGTATCCAGTCCTACACCAGGCTCCATGCATGAAATGGAGCCTGCTTCTCCCTCTGCCTGTGTCTGTGCCTCTCTCTCTCTCTCTCTCTCTCTCTCTCTCTCTCTTTCTGTGTATCTCTCATGAATAAATAAAATCTTAAAAAAAAAAACGAAGTTGATCAGAAGAGCACTTGGCTGGCTCAGTCAGTAGAGCATGTGACTCTTGATCTAGGGATTGTGACTTTGAACACTGTCTTGGGTGTAGAGATTACTTAAAGATAAATTTTTTTTAATGATAAAAAATAATTTTAAAAAGTACATGTGTGATCTTGCATTTGCCAAATGTGACTGGCATGACTTTCAATTATATTAATTGAAAATAAAGTTACTAAAAGTATACATTTTGAATACCTGATAAATGAATTTGCAGAAACATGAGCCAGAAAAGTCTCATGACCAATTAAGATAGCACATTCCCCACAGGAAGTCTGCTTCTCCCTCTGCCTGTCTCTGCCTCTCCCTGTGTCTCTCATGAATAAATAAATAAAATCCTAAAATAAATAAATAAATTTCTATCATAGTCATCCTACTAGTTTGATACAATTACTGCTCTGTTTTTTATATTTTTATTTTATTTTATTTTAAGATTTTATTTATTTATTCATGAGAGACAGACAGAGAGAGAGAGGCAGAGACACAGGCAGAGGGAGAAGCAGGCTCCATGCAGGGAGCCTGACATGGAACTCAATTCCGGGTCTCCAGGATCAGGCCCTGGGCTGAAGGCAGTGCTAAACTGCTGAGCCACCCAGGCTGCCCTCCATTTTCATTTTAATAGTGTTTATCTGTATATGACATGAAGCTTTGATGTATATAGAGGGACTAATTTCTTCATCACTTCCTGATCACAGTGGTTGGACAAGGTGAGCCCAACCTGAGCTAACCAAATGCTCTCCATCATGAATATGAATCCTGAGAGTTTAAAGAATCTGAAGAGCAGAACTAGGACACAGCATTGTTCTATATGATTGTTTACAAAAACAAGGTGGGAAATGCCATGTGAAACAATGATGGGATTTTCTTTGCAAAGAATCTCTTTTGGGACACCTGGGTGGCTCAGTCAGTTAAGCATCTGCCTTCAGCTCAGGTCATGATCCCAGGGCCTGGGACTGAACCCTGTGTCAAGCTCCCTGCTCAGCGAGGAGTCTGCTTCTCCCTCTCCCTCTGCCCTTCCCCCTACTCATGCTCGTGCTCTCTCTCAAATAAAATATTTTAAAAACTTTTAAAAAATAATCTGTTTTAAAAAAAGAAAAGGACGGGATCCCTGGGTGGCGCAGCGGTTTGGCGCCTGCCTTTGGCCCAGGGCGCGATCCTGGAGACCCGGGATCGAATCCCACGTCGGGCTCCCGGTGCATGGAGCCTCCTTCTCCCTCTGCCTATGTCTCTGCCTCTCTCTCTCTCTCTCTCTGTGACTATCATAAATAAATAAAAAAAATTAAAAAAAAAAAGAAAAGGGCAAAAAGGAGCTAGCAAAAAGACATGATAATCTATGATATTGTTTGTCTTTCCTTTTACGAAAGATTAGCATGATTTCTAGTCACCAGATGGGCAGCCGTAAACTGGTTAAATTTTGTGGTCTAAATATAAACTGTGAACAATACTCTGAAAATATTCAATAACTGAATCAATAACTTGTTAACATTAATAATTAGCAAAAAATGCTATTATTACAACCAAAATAATATGGTGGTCTTTGGGAGATACTGCTTTCAGATGCCTGAGCACTCTTCCATTTGAAAAAGAACAGTTTATTAGTTGTTACTTATATTTTTTCCTCCTAAATCAAAAGGAGATTCATAGCAGTAAGGAACACGATATTTACCTAAGTGAAACGCAAAGAGAATTTTCTGAAAAGCTCCTTATATTAACTATGTCTTCTTTATATTTTGTATTTTAATACTTTGAGATCTGGAGGCTTGCTGACCTGGAGAGACTACCCCTCCCAGGGCTAGCCAATTCCTAGAGATAGTCAACAGTTTACCCCTCAAGCTAGCCTTTCTTTTCTTTTTTTTTCTTTAAATATTTTATTTATTTATTCATAAGAGACACACAGAAAAAAAAGAGAGAGAGGCAGAGAGGGAGAAGCAGGATCCATGCAGGGAGCCCGAAGTTGGTCATGCCCTGAGCCAAAGGCAGTCCTAAACCACTGAGCCACCCAGAAGTCCCAAAAGCTAGCCTTTCAAATGCAAAGCAACCAATCCAGAGCCCACACCCCAACTACCTCCTCCACTAGCTCCCACACTCAGAGCTACTATCCATGTGCCCTAATTACTGCAGGGACAGCTACCACAGGACGGACAGCTCCGGTGCAGCAGAGCGCACTGAAATTTTTCAAACTAACCAATCCTAAACTTGCTTACCCTTCCTAGCCTGTTTCTTCCAATGGAAACTACAATAAAGGCTCTTGCTCACATTTTCCCCCGACTCTGTCGCCTCCTGATTGACCCCAGTGCTTCCTGGCACCCCCAACCCTGGTGGCATGGCACATCCCTTCCTCTTAGAGGAATTATTTCTATATTCTGTACACTTCCTTTTTTTTTTTTTTTTTAGGTCTTGGCTTTCTCCTTTTATTTACCTTTTAGCTAACCCAGATCTTAAAATTACTTATAATGTAATCTTCATTTATTTTAGAACTACCTCTAATTCTTTCTGAGACAAGGCAAGAAATATCTGACTAAATAAAAGAATGAGTTATTAAATTACAAAACTTGCAAAGGAGTGCCCTTGTAAACTTACTTTTCAATCTATCAATATGAATTTTCCTTTTTTTATTTTTATTTATTTATTTTTTTTAAATTTATGATAGTTACATAGAGAGAGAGAGAGAGAGAGAGAGAGAGAGAGGCAGAGACATAGGCAGAGGGAGAAGCAGGCTCCATGCACCGGGAGCCTGATGTGGGATTCGATCCTGGGTCTCCAGGATCGCGCCCTGGGCCAAAGGCAGGCGCCAAACCGCTGTGTCACCCAGGGATCCCCCCTTTTTTTTATCTCTATACCCAACATGGGCCTCGAACTCATGACCCTGAGATCAAGACTTGCAATGCTCTTCTTACAGAGCCAGCCAGGCACTCCATGCATTTTCCATTCTTTTTTTTATATATATATTTTATTTATTTATTCATGACAGACATAGAGAGAGGGTAGGGAGCAGAGACACAGGCAGAGAGAGAAGCAGGCTCCATGCAGGGAGCCCGATGCGGTACTTGATCCCGGGACTCCAGGATCACGCCCTGGACCAAAGGCAGGCGCCAAACCGCTGAGCCACCCAGGGATTCCCTCCATTCTTTTTTTGATTCTTAGTGTCTGTACTACCTCCAGCCTCTGGAGGATGTTATTTCATTTTTTTTAAAAGGTTTTATTTATTTATTCATGAGAAACACACACAGAGAAAGACAGAGGCAGAGACAGAAGCAGAGGGAGAAGCAGGCTCCATGCAGGGAACCTGATGTGTAGGATCTCCAGGATCAGGCCCTGGACTGAAGGTGGTGCTAAACTGCTGAGCCACCCGGGCTGCCCTGGAGGATGTTATTTCAAATGTAATTCTTTCATGTGAAAATACCTCTATTCTGTAAAAGAAGATCTATAATATTTGAGGCAATAAACAACACCAAAACTTTGAGAAACCCTTCTTATCAACTAAATGTTAATCCAATGAGTGGGGCCATGCAGAGTGACAAGAAAGCTAAAAATATAGATTGTGATGGTTTATTAATTATATTAATTTTTAGTTAATAATATTTATTAGATGAATTCTTTCTTTGTCCCTACATTGTCAAATGTGGTCCCTCTGACAAATATATCGGTGGTTGTTGTCCATAAAACAAAACAAAATGAGGAGTGGCTCAGTCAGTTGGGCATCAGGTTCTTGATTTCCACTCGGGCCGTGATCTCGGGGTTGCAGAATCAAGAATCAAGCCCTGTGCCCAGCTCCATGCTTGGCGTAGAGTCTGCTTGGCATTCTCCCTCTCCCTCTGCCTCCCTCCCCCTGCTTGCACTTTCTCTGTCTCAATAAATAGTATTTTAAAATATATATATAAAAATAAAACAAAAGACTTCATCACTTTTTTTAAGTTTTATTTATTTAAGTAATCTCTGCACCTGTTGTGGGGCTCAAACTCACTACCAAGATGAAGAGTTGCATGCTCCTCTGACTGCACCAGCCAGGTGCCTCTTCATTACCTTTTCTAATTAAACAAGAAAAAAAATCTATTTAAGTAGTGTCATTTTCCTTAGACTCCTGCTATGCTATTTAAAGATCATTCCTCAAATGAATAAAAAAACAAGACCCATTATGTACGGGGTCTACAGGAAACTCACTTCAGACCTAAAGACACACGACTGAAAGTGAAAGGATGGAAAAAGATATTCCATGCAAATGGAAGTGGGGGAAAAAAGCTGTTGGCAATACTTGTATCAGACAAAATATATATTAAAACAAAGACCGTAACAAGAGACAAAGAAGGGCATTACATAATGATAAAGGGATCAATCCAACAAGATGTAACAATTATAAATATCTATGCATTCAACATGGAGCATCTAAATACATAAAGTAAATATCAACAGAAATAAAAAGATTGTTAGTAATACAATAATAGTAAGGGGACTTTAATACCCCACTTACATCATGGATAGATCATCTAGGCAGAAAATCAGTAAGGAAACAATGTATTTGAATGACACATTACCAAATGGATTTAGATATATATAGAACATTCCAACCAAAAATAATACACACAAAATTTTTACAGTACGGTTCTGTGAATGTATTTTCTCTTCTTTATGATTTTCTTAATAACATTTTCTTTTCTCCAGCTTACTTTATTATAAGAATACAATATATAATATGTATAGCTTACAAAATATGTGTTAACTATTTTTTCTATTGGTAAGGCCTCTGGTCAACAATAGGCTATTAGTAGTTAAGTTTTCAAAGAGTTGAAATGTGGATTTTCAACCACATGGAGGGTTGGCACCCCAGCCCCATATTATTCAAAGGTCAACAGATTCATCTACTATGTGCTAGGCCCATTGCTGTGCTAGGATACAATGTGAGCCACAAAAGACAAAGTGCTTCTCCTTAGGGTACTTAGAGTCTAGTGCGTGAAACTATAAAAGGATCACATAAATATGTGTAGAATGCAACCTCAAAAATCACTTGGAAAAAAAAGAATATAAATGGGAAGATCTGGGAAGTCAGAAGAGGTTTTCTTAGGTGATTGGGGTACCTGTGTTTCCCCATTATATTAGCTAGATTCAAATGATACAGAAAGGAATAGTGAGCCTACTACCACTGTGTGCCTCATTCTGCACACTACAATAGAATTGAATCTCTTCATCTGTGCTAATATTCTATTAACATACCCTCTTAATCTTTATCTTAGGAGACCAGTACCATTCCTTTCCACATCCTTCATTCCTGTTCCTCACGTTCATACAGCATCCTATTCTGCACTCAGTTCTCTCCACAGACACCACTATTACACACACACACACACACACACACACACACGCACACACACACCCCTCATCCTTCTCATGTCACCACTACAGTTCCTTTTCCTGTTCCCAATTACTAAGGGAAAATATTCCGTAATGAATAACCACTACCATTTGCATTTTTATCACCATTTGCATTTTCTGAGTACACATAATACTGACATTTGGAAAGTGTAAAAATGTGAAATTATGAATTAAGTTGCAAACCTTCTAAGAACTTCTTACATTTTATAGGTGGCTGGCTGTGCTAGATGGTATTTGGTTGATACCAAGCTGGGACACATGGGTTTTAGAACAAATAGTATCATGTTGTTTGAGAACACTTATGAGATTCATAAAAGATATTTAAAACAGAATTTCTAGAAAATTCCTCTTTCCCATAAGAAATCATTCCTAAAACAAAACTCAAGGCAGGGGATCCCTGGGTGGCGCAGCGGTTTGGCGCTTGCCTTTGGCCCAGGGCGCGATCCTGGAGACCCAGGATCGAGTCCCACATCGGGCTTCCGGTGCATGGAGCCTGCTTCTCCCTCTGCCTGTGTCTCTGCCTCTCTCTCTCTCTCTGTGACTATCATAAATAAATTAAAAAAAAAAAAAACTCAAGGCAAACATCACTGTGAGATTGCCTGTGATCACTTTAGATACAAATACAGGTCAGATTACATCATTGTTAAATTATAATGTAAAGAGCCTGGGTTTTTCAGGGCTCTAAATGAAGTCTGGGCAGCAACTTTTTTTTTTTTTTTTTTTTTTTTAGCAACTTGTTTTAAAATACACACACACACACACTCACATACAGGCACATGGTTTGTTACTAATCTTCCTCTGAGAGTTAAGAAAATACACACCCTAACATGTCATACAGTAAGAACTTTACAATTGTTTATACCATATTAGGAAAAAAGCTTATCCCATGATTAACTAGAATGTTTTTCCTTTTGATTTGGTAACCATCACACTAGTTAAGGAAACCATGAAATAATTTAAGTCCATTGCAAGTTATTTGATGTCCATGTTGTGATTAGGAGTAATCTAATTTATATTATAATTCCCTCAAGGAGTATTTGTGGGTAGGCAAAAAAAAAAACTCTCATTTTTTTCTATTTGGTAACACTGTATAGTATTATATTTTATTGGCAGGAAATTTTTAATGCTTTATTAGAGGGTTTTACTATATATTTTTTAAAGATTTATTTATTTATTCATGAGAGACACACAGAGAGAGAGAGGCAGAGACATAGGCAGAGGGAGAAGCAGGCTCCTCGCAGGGAGCCCGATGTGGGACTCGATCCCAGATCCCAGGATCATGCCCTGAGCCGAAGGCAGATACTCAACCACTGAACCACCCAGGTGTCCTGGCTTTTACTGTATTTTGACATGAAAGAAGTTTACGGTACTTTCATTTAGAGGTAGTAGAAGAAAGAAATCATTATTTATTGAGCATTTATGATGTGCCAAACAGTGTTCTGGACATTAACATGTCAGATCTCATTTAATTAGAATGAACATTGTACCGAACCAAATGAAGAACCAGTTATTGTAAATAATATTATTATTTTTTAAAGATTTTGTTTATGGGGGACGTGGCTGGGAGGAGGAGCAGAGGGAGAGGGACAAGCAGACTCCACAATGAGTGCTGAGCCCCATGTGGGACTCGATATCAGACACCAGAGAGCATGACCTGAGCTGAAATGAAGACTTGAACGCTCAACTGACTGAGCTACCCATGGGTCCCCTATTATTACTACTTTTTAATGACAAAGCTTTTCTACCTTTTTTTTTTTTTTTTTAGACAGCATGCACATGCAAGCATGGGGGGCTAAGGACAGAGGGAAAAGAGAGAATTCCAAGCTGGGCGGAGTCTGAGTCAGGGCTCAATACCATGACCTGGAGATCATGACTCCAGCTGAAATCAAGCCACTCAGGTGCCCATTAATACTATTTTAAGTTTCCAAGAATTCTTTTTTGTTCTCATAATTTTCCTCTTTTTTACTTATCTGTTGTTTCATGAATGTGTTATTTTTTATCTATAGATTTTAATGAGCAGTTGTGTGTGGGTTTTTTTGTTGTTTTTAACTTTTTTCTAAGCCTAGCTTATCCTTGGATTTTATCTCTGTTTTTGATGTTGGAGGCTTTGTTTCAGTGTATGGGGATCCTTGACAATTCATTCACATTTAAGAGTGGAACATTAGGCACCTGGGTGGCTCAGTTGGTTAAACATCTGCTCAGGCCAGAATCCTGGGGTCCTGGGGTGGAGCCCCACATTGTCATTGAGCTCCCTGCTCAGCAGAGAGTTGGCTTCTCTCTCTCCCTCTTTGCCCCCGCCCCCATGTTCTAGCTCCCTCTGCTCTCTCCCTCTGTCCAATAAATAAATAAATAAAATCTTAAAAAAAAAAAAAGGAACATTCAAACCTGTATGTGTAAGAGCACAGCTTTGTCAAATAGGGGCTTTACTATAGAGAGATCTGATTTTGGTGATTCTTGGAGAGACCTCCAATTATCAGTATCTTTAGTCCTTTTCTTTTGGGCTTCTTAGATCTCCAGAAAAAGCAGGTCCAATGTTGTATGTGGAGGCTCTAAGTCAGCTTACTACTGATCTTGGAGCTGAGGGGCTTTAGAGTTTCTCCCTTCAATATGCAGACTTGCACTTGCTACTCTTATTCTCAGTGTGGTAGCCTCCTCTCAGATGGACCTGATGCTCCCTCTGGTTCACTTTTATTAAGAAAGCAAACAAAATCTGCTGTGGTAGGAGAGGGGCAGTTGGCCAGCTATATATGGTGGTAGGTAATGGGGGGGCAGTATAGGGAGAAAGCAAAGGAGATCTGGAGTATCTAACTGCTTCTGATCAAAACTTTCAAACGATTCTCCTGTTTTACCCTTCTTTTTCAGAGATTGCCAGTGTCTTAAAGTTTAAGTTTTATTATTATTTAGATAAGGAGATAATTGCCATGGAAAAGATAGTTTGTTATTCACCATTCCCAGAAGGAAGCCTGCCACACCACAAAGAGCCACAGGGGAAACACCAGGGTTGGTCAGCTGACAGAGGGAATAAAGGAACAGCCTTTATTGCAATTTCATAAGAGGACTCGGAGAGGCAGGGTAAGCAGGCTGAGGATTGGCTAGTTTAAATAATTTCAGCAGGCTCACAATAGCCAAACTGTGGAAGGAGCCTTGGTGTCCATCGAAAGATGAATGGATAAAGAAGATGTGGTTTCTGTATACAATGGAATATTACTCAGCCATTAGAAATGACAAATACCCACCATTTGCTTCAACGTGGATGGAACTGGAGGATATTATGCTGAGTGAAGTAAGTCAATCAGAGAAGGACAAACATTGTATGTTCTCATTCATTTGGAGAATATAAATAATAGTGAAAGGGAATAGAAGGGAAGGGAGAAGAAACGTGTGGGAAATATCAGAAAGGGAGACAGAACATAAAGACTCCTAACTCTGGGAAACGAACTAGGGGTGGTGGAAGGGGAGGAGGGCGGGGGGTGAGGGTGAATGGGTGACGGGCACTGAGGGGGGCACTTGATGGGATGAGCACTGGATGTTATTCCGAATGTTGGTAAATTGAACACCAATAAAAATAAATTTATTAAAAAAAAATTTCAGCAGGCTCTGGGGCCTTGGGGCTGGCTGTCCTTAAAGTGTGGATACCTGGTGTGGGATGATTAGGGCAGCAGAATAGTGGCCCAGAATGTAAGAATCGCTTAGAAGTGGTGAGGAGAGGAGCCCTGAGGTGTAGTCTCCCCACTACCAGTAAGGCCTCAGATGTCAAACCTCAGAATAAAGTTATGCTTAATACACTCAATCCTGGCAATTTCTGAGCCTCTGGGAGCTATGTGGTGCAAGATGGCTCACTTATGGGGTTCTCCACTGCCTGTTGACGGTTCTGTTTTCCTGGATATAATATGATTATGACATGTGAAGACTTATCCCAATCCATCCACTCTCCAGCTTCCAAAATTGTTTGCTGTTGTTCTCTCCGAGTATGAGACATTTATGCCTTTTTTTAAAAAAGATTTTTATTTATTTATTAATGAGAGACACAGAGAGGCAGAGACACAGGCAGAGGGAGAAGCAGGCTCCATGCAGGGAGCCCGATGCGGGACTTGATCCCAGGTCTCCAGGATCACGCCCTGGGCCAAAGGCAGGCACCAAACCGCTGAGCCACCCGTGCTGCCCTATGCCTTTTTAAACATTCTTTAAGGTCATTTTAATGGGATCTGGAGAGGTGGTAAAGGTGAATGCTTGTGTTCAATCCACCATCTTCAACAGATAGTCACAAAGTAAGTACCAACACTTTTTCCACTTACTCTGAAAGAAGGTAATATTTAACCACCACACTCCACCCCTACACCTGCCCAAAACAAGATATATAGTGGCCATATAACTATCTTAAAATATTTGAAGGGCTTCTGCATAGAAGAAAGAATAAACTTACCCTGAACTCCTCCAGAGTCCATAACTAAGAACAATGAGTAGAAGTTTGAGAGATTTTACAGCTCAATAAAAGAAAAAATATTAGAGCAGTCTAAAAATGTAATCTGCTGCTTCATGAAATAAAGAGCTTTCCATTATGAAACACACGTATTCATTCATGAACCCCGATCAAGTGCCCATTAGGACCAACATAGTTCTCTCTGACCTCAAGTTGCTCATGGTCTAACAGGGGGATAGAAAGGTCTGAGCCTAAAGATTCCTGATCCTCGAGGTCTTCCGTTATACTTACCATAGAATTTCTATTTCTTTAGGAGCACTTATAATTCCTTGCTTAATGTCTTTTTTTTTTAGTCTCAGAGCTCCATAAGGGTGAGAACTGTGTCTTTATTGAACATTACTTTACCACTTAGATTTAGTATGGTGCCTGATACATTGTAGGTGCCCTGAAGCAGACCAAACTTTAAATAACAGATTAGAGTAGCATGATATAAATATAATCATGGCACTAGAGGAGAATTCGAGAAGTCGAAATAAGTGCAGACATTTAATTTAGCATGGGATGATAAGGGAGGACTTTCCAAGGGGTGATGGCACTGAAATGAAGTCTTAAATAACATTAAAGAGTTAGTAAGGCGGGGCGGGGTGCCTGGATGGCTCAGTCAGTTAAGCATGTGCTTTCAGCTCGAGTCATGATCCTGGGGTCCTGGGATCAAACCCCCATGTTTTCGGGCTCCCTGCTCACTTGGGAGTCTGCTTCTCCTCTCCGTCTTCTCCCTCTGCACCTCCCCAACTCCTGCTTGTGCTCTCTTTCTGCACTTTCTCTCTTAAATAAATAAAAACCTTAAAAAAAAAGAATAAGGCAAGGAGGGAGAAGAGAATTCTAGAAGAAACAGAATGTTCAAAGTCACAGAGATATTAATAACATGAGGCAATCTGTGAATTACAACATACTCTCTATAGTAGTTTAATAAGGAGCACATGAGTGAAGACCAGAGAGTAAGATCAGGGCAGTCATACTCAAGAGTTTGACAAAATGGCAATGGATATTATGCAAGGCTCTGAAGCAGATTTTACAATTTAATTTAGATCATTCTGGCAGCAATGTGTAGGATGTAAGAGAGGTGGCAGGTAGACGCAAAGAGACCAGTTGGGAATGTGGAAAGTAGAACAAAACTAGAACATGAACACAATTCAGCCAAGTTCTTCATTTTATAACAAAGCTGGCCTTTCCTCCAGTTTCCAATAATAGGTTCCTCATTTCTGTCCAAGACCTCACTAGAATGGCTTTACCATCCATGTTGCTATTCCGAATTACTTGGGTATTCTCTAATTGGATGGAAGCTCCTCTGCAGCTCTCATTTCTTTCTGACTTCTCACCAGAACTACCATCAGTGGTCCATTCATGGCAATATGGGATTTTTCTCACATGCACCCCAAAATCCTTCCAGTCTCTGCCCATTACCCAGTTCCAAAGCCACCTCCATAGTTTTAGGTATTTGTTATATCAGTAACCCACTTCTTAGTACCCATTTTCTTAGTTGTTTGGGGCTGCTATAAGAAAACACCATGGAATCCATAGAATGAATGGCTTATAAACAACAGATATTTATTTCTCACCGTTCTGGAGGCTGTAGATTTCAAGATCAAGGCATCAGTAGATTTGGTGTCCAGTGAGAACCTGCCTCCTGGGTCATGGACAGGCATCTTTTGCTGTGTCCTCACATGGCAGAGAGGGCAAATGAGCACTCTGGAGTCCCTTTGATAAGGGCACTAATCTCACTGATGAGGGCCCTGCTCTCATGACCCAATCCTCTATCAAAGGCCCTACCTCCTAACACCATCATGCTGGAGATGAGGATTTCAACATATGAATGGGGGGGGTGCACACAATCAGTCATAGCATCTGACATCTATAATTAGCCAAAGATAGAATCTATCCTATCTCTTGCCATGTCTGTTCCCTGTTATTTATGAAACTATTTTCACTACAAACCCAGAGACTTCTTCAGTGTTATTTCCTGGCTCTTATCATTAGCTGACAAGATTCATGCCTGTCCCTCCTAGTGCATTATGATCTGGTTCAGGGTAAGTTTAAGCTCACTTCCTTACATGTGAACCACTGGCACTAACTCAGTTCATGTGTCAATAGACAGTCTCTGCATATTGTCACAGTTTAATATTTGATATTTTCAAACATCTAGACACACAAAATATAGTTTTGATCAAAGAAACTATTTTCTTCCAAAGTCTAAGCATGATTGTTTTTGTTTTTGTTTTTTTTTTAACAATGTTACTATTGACAGTGTTTGGTATGTGGAAGGCGGTCAACAACTATATGGGTCAACAACAACTATATGATAAATGAATGGACATTTCTGGTCAAGAAATCAATATAAAAGGCTGAGGATGGCAAACTGTGGGTAGGTTCTAGAAATGGTAATCAGACACATGTAAGCCCACAGTAAGAAGCCCACATGTAATCAAAATATCAGATACATGTAAGCCCATAGTAAGAAGGTGAGCTAGAGTGAAATGTTGGGGAGTCCTGAATGCTCAGAAGAGACATTAAGATTACCATCTAAGGGATCCCTGGGTGGCACAGCGGTTTAGCGCCTGCCTTTGGCCCAGGGCGCGAACCTGGGGACCTGGGATCGAATCCCACGTTGGGCTCCCGGTGCATGGAACCTGTTTCACCCTCTGCCTGTGTCTCTGCCTCTCTCTCTCACTGTGTGCCTATCATAAATAAATAAAAATTTTAAAAAAATTAAAAAAAAAGATTACCATCTAAGTATTCACAGAACCATTAAGATTTTGGTTATAATCAGATATCTGCTTAAGAAAGATGATTCTGAAATCTCCCATTTCAGGGAGGAGTTTTCAAATGTCATTGAAATGACAAGTATAATATAAACATGGGAACAATTCTGTTTCAGGGATGGAAAAAGAGAAGGTATAGGCCAGAGCAATTTCTACAAGACAAAGTGCAAACAGGACCAGAGTGGGGTGAGGGTTGCGGGGGGGGGGGGGGTGAGGATAAGTAGCCTGAAATTCAATAAATGAAAAAGGAAAAGCTTGCTTGGGAAGTAAGCAATGATGCCCAGGACAGAACCGAGTCCCCCACACCTGGAGTGGAGGTAGTAAAGCTGCAGGGCTGTCAGCAGGAAGCCCTGCCAGAACAGCAGCTCATTAAGTCTGCCCTAGTGAAGTGAGACAAAGGGGATGGATGTAGTGAACCTCTAAGAGGAGGATTGGTACCTGTTGCCAAGGTGAGTGTGGGAAGGTGGGGGTGGGGCAGCACCAAGGAACAACCCTTGAGAATAAACTTTGAGAAGCAGCCAGTGGGCACAGCAGTGAAATTCTGAGATAGCTTCCTCCCTACTTCCTATACTCTGTAAATCTTGCAAAATCACCACAGAAAATACAAACTTTTACTCCTTCTTTGAGACCAAAAGATTTGCCCAAAGACCCAGATAATCTCCAACACAGTTTATTTGAAATCCCAATACTGGACCAATATAGTTAGGATGAACCACTAGAAAAGTTAACAAATCTCAAACTTTACTGACAAATACACACACACACACACACACACACACACACACTTGAATAAAGGACACTATGATGTTCCTACATAGAAAGACTCAATATGACAAAGATGACAATTTGCCCCAAATTAATCTATTTTTATGCAATCCCAACCAAAATCCTAAAGGGTTTGTATGAAGCATTTCATCAGGATTTCTTCTATTCTTGGAAGCCCAGCACTCCTTCCTCAGGAAAGGAATGTTGAGCAAGCCCTACATGTCCTCCTTCAATCTGGTTCCATCTATGCCACGTGGGAAAAATTCCTTGAAATTTGTGCCATGTGGATGGTATTTTTCATATTCCAGTGTTAATGTAAGTTGTTTTACTTTTTTTTAAAGATTTTATTTATTTATTCATGAAAGACACAAAGAGAGGCAGAGACATAGGCAGAGGGAGAAGCAGGCTCCTCACAGGGAGCCTGATGTGGGACTTAATCCCTGAATTGGGATCATGCCCTGAGCCAAAGGCAGATGCTCAACCGCTATACCACCCAGGCGTTCCATTGTAAGTTGTTTTAATTATCAATTGCTATGTAATACACAACTCCAAAATTTAGTAACTTAAAGCAATAATCATTTACTTGTTTGTGATTTTGCAGTTTTGGCAGAGCTCAGTGGGGTAGCTCTTCTTTGCTACATTTGGCACTAGAAAGGTTGGTTTGACTGAGGCTGGGGGATCCATCTCCAAGACTACTCCAGATTGGTGCTGGCTGTCACACAGGAGCTCAGCTGGGGCTGTTAGCTGGAGCCCTTTATTTTAGCCACACGGGCCTTTTCACTTAACTGTTTCCTCACACCATGGCTGCTGGGTTTCAGAAGGAGGAAGCAGAAGGCTTATTAATGTCTGGGTTCAGAGATCCTAGGCTGTTACGTCTCTGCATTTAATTAGATGAAGCAGTTAGAGGCCCACATCAGATTCAAGAAGAGACATAAGCTCTCCCTCCTGATGGAAGTAGCTGCATGCACATATTTGGGGGCCATCTTGGAGACTATCTACTACTCAGGTTGTTCATCGATTTTATATTCCATTGGCCAGACCATAAAGGATATCCAAATGTTAGTGCTTAAGCCATCACCCTTCTTAGAAGTAGCCCCAAATAAATATTAATTTAAATATAATTCATCACTAAACCAGTATTTCCCGGAAAACAAGCACATTATTTTTCTAATTTTTTATTGAGGTGTAGTTTACAATGAAATATACAGATCTTAAGTGTATAATTCAATGTTTTGACATACCCATATAGCTGTGTATGCATAAACATACATATGCATAGCTATGTAACACACACCCATATCAAGATGTATCTTCCTTACCCAAGAATATTCTCTATGCCTTTTTCTTGTCAATGCATGCTCCCAGAAGCAACTATTGTTCTTATTGTTTTAGATTTGCCCACTCTAGGACTTCATATAAACGAAATTATATAGTACATACTCTTTTTCTCAGACTTCTTTCACTCAGCATTTTTTGAGATTCATGTTGTTGTGTAGATTAATAGTTTGTTCATTTTAATTATGAGTATTATTTCATTGTATGAATATACTACAATTTGTATAACTATTCATGTGTTGGTGGTATCTGCATTTTTCCGGCTTGGGGCTACTTTTATTTTTTAAAGATTTTAGTTGGGGATCCCTGGGTGGCGCAGCGGTTTGGCGCCTGCCTTTGGCCCAGAGCCCGATCCTGGAGACCCGGGATCGAATCCCACATCGGGCTCCTGGTGCATGGAGCCTGCTTCTCCCTCTGCCTGTGTCTCTGCCTCTCTCTCTCTCTCTGTGTGACTATCATAAATAAATAAAAATTTAAAAAAAAATTAAAAAAAAAAGATTTTATTTATTTATTTGAGAGACTGCAAGTGAGAATGAGTGGGGCATGGGAGGTAGAGGAAGGAGAGGAAGAAATAGATTGTTTACTGATCAGGGAGGCTAAGGCTCGATCCCAGGACCCTGGGATCATGACCTGAGACAAAGGCAGATGTTTGCTTAACCGACTGAACCACCCAGGCACAGTTTCAGTCTATTTTAAAGCTGCTATGAGCATTCTTGTACAACTCTTTTCATACACTTAAGATTTTATTTCTCTTGGGTAAATACCTAGAAGGGAAATTTCTGGGTCATATAGATGATGTATCTTTAATTTTATTAGAAATTGCCAAGGTTTCCAAAGTGACTAAATCAGAGTTCCAATTAGTCCACATCTATACAAGTATTTTGTCAATTATTAATTTTAGCTATTTTAGAGGCTTGTAATGGCATCTTATTGTTGTATTAATTTGCACTTTCCTGATGACTAACGTTTTGAGCATTTTCCCGTGTACTTATTGCCTATTCATATATCTTTCCCTATAATGTGTCTGTTAAAGTATTTTACTCATTTTTATTTGTGTTGTCTTTTATAAATGAGTTGTAGGGTTGGGTTTTTTTTAACATATTATAGTTATAAGTCCCTCATTAGATATGATTATTACAGATATATTCTCCTGGTATATGGCTTGTCTACTCATTTCTTAACCATGTCTTTGAGTAGAAGCTTTAAATTTTCATTATATTCAATTTACTGATTCTCTTTTACAGTTAGCACTTTCTAAGACCTAAGATATACTTGCTTACCCTAAGGTCATGCGGATTATTTCCTGTTTTCTTCTAGAAGCCTTAGTTTTAGCTTTTATTAGGTTAATAACCCACCACAAATTCTATTTTGAGGATATTATGAAGTTAAGTCCTAAGATTCAAAATATCTAGTTATTCTAGTACATTTTCCCTTTATCCATGGAACTGTTATGAAGTCTTTGTTAAAAATCACTTGACCATATTTTTGTGGGTATATTTCTGGATTCTAGTCTGTTTCAATGATCTATGTATCTTCTTTACTGTACCTATACTGAGAATCTTAAAATCATAGAGTCGCAGTTCTTCAAACTCTTTTCTTTTTCAAAATTGTTTTGGCTATCCTAGGTTCATCACATAACTTTTAGATAAACTTTAACATTTTCAATAAAATGCCTGCTGGGATTTTGATTGGAATTGCATTGAATCTATAGATCAATTTAGAAAGAGCTGACAACAAAACAATACTGAGTTTTCTAATCATGTACATAATACATCCATTTCAATCTCCTTTAATTTCTCTCAGCAATAAGTATCATGCATTTAAATTTTAAGTGTTTGTTTATAATCTGCTCTAATTCATGTAATTTATAAATCTTGTGTAAAAGACATACTAGGAAATTTCAAGATCAGTATGACAGTGTTTTTGTCTTACAATCCAATAGAAGAGCAAAATATTCTCATTACAATTTTAAAAGTAGAAAAGTTTGAGTAACATATTAATTAGAAGAGATGAAATATGTACATATTTAATAATAGCACAAAGAATGTAAGAATTATAGAGGTGTCACATGGAACACAAAAAACAAGGTGTCACACATAACACAAAAAGCAAATTCAGCCTTTGATTTCTCTATAACAATTAAAAATAATAGAAATATATTTGGGTCTGTCACTTAAATATATGAAAAACTGAATTCTAAGAAATATAAAAATAGGGAAAATGAAAAACCTTTCAATGACAACTTCTGCATCCATGTTGACATTCAGCATGGGTAATAGTTTTTGTTTTGAAGAAAAATTTTTTTTAAGTATTCTCTATACCCACTTGGGGCTCAAATTTAGAACCCCGAGATCAAGAGTTGCATGCTCCACCATGTGAACTAGCCAGGCACCCCTATTTTTTTATTTAATATACTCATTTATGGAGATTGCTTAACTTACTTTATTAAATTATTTCAGCATTTAATAATCAATATAACCAAGCTAAATCCTTCAACTTTGATCTTCTACTTTAACTAAAAATGGCTAGTCAGAATTCCCTTTACATAAGCCTCTTATAATGTACTTGGGAGTGGTTAACTTTTTTTTTTTTTAAACTAAGTACATAATCCCAATTCAAAAGGTTTTCTTCATATTTTTAATTATTTAAATTTTTTTGATGAAACTATCAAATCTATACTAAAATATTATTAAATCAGTCTTTTAGGATACGTCCCTCCCCACAATTTCAGATGAGAAATTAGACTTTTGATCGAAAAATAGTTACTTTATTATTTTAATTCTCTTTTTAAGACAAATGCATCAATAAGAAATCAATATTATGTTAGGACATTTATACGCTGAAAATGTTCCTAGCAGTAGTAATTCCTCCATAAAATATAACTGCATATATAAAGCAGTATCAAATCCATTCATATATATTAGACCATAAAGTATAATGGAAGATAGCACATCTTTTTATGTCTGGGTAATATAAACATAATAGTTACAAAATAGGATAGAAAATGGCTTTGTTGCTATCGAGTATGTGACTCTGACAAACTTAGATCTTCATTCTCCTCCTCCTTTGAAAAAAGGGAAGGAATAATAATACTCCATAGAATTGCTGTAAAGATTAAATTATTGTTTGCAAGGTACTTTGTATAGTTCCCACCTGATAGTAAGTACTAAATTAATGGCAACGGATTTCATCTTATGGCACTAATAACAATAGAAATACAGTTGATCCTTGAACAACACCGGGATAAGCGGCACCAACCCCCGCACTATGAAAAATCCAAGTATAACTTTTGACTCCCCTAACACTTAACTGCTAAGCCCTACTGATAACATAAGCTGTCTATTGACAAATATTCTGTATGTTGTGCGTATTCCATACTGTATTCTTATAAAGTAAGCCAGGAGAAAAGAAAACGTTATTAAGACAACCATAAGGAAGAAAAGATACATTTATAGTCCTGTAAAAAATCCGCATGAAAGTGGACCCACACAGTTCAAACTGGCATTGTCCAAGGTTCAACTGTATATTGCCTTATATAAGGGCTATTCGGTAAGCTATCTAATTTGTAAGGCTGACAGAGAGGAAAGGAGAACTGGGGGCTCTGCAATATGGCAGTCATTCCACAGCTCTCTGTCTGTATACTAGAAACCAGCCACCAGGTAAAAAAAGTACATGAGAGTACAAATGCACAAACAACAGCCTGGAGTCTTAGCCAGTGTTGTCTTTAGTGTCCGTAGTTCATTACAAATTAACAGTAAAGTGATTTAGAAGAATTAAGGTACTTGTGGGGGGATTAAAATTTTATTTATTTATTCATGAGAGACACAGAGAGAGAGAGGCAGAGACACAGGCAGTGAAGGTGTCGCTAAACTGCTGAACCAGCTGCTGGGGGTGGGGTTAGACTTAGGTTTTAGAATTAAATTGAGAAAGTATTTAACTGATTTTCAGACCTACTTAGTGATTTAAAATGAATAATCATAAGTGGAAAATACACAAGTGCAAATAAAAATTCAAATGTGTAACAAAACTTTCTCTCAGTTCTTATAAGAAAAAAGGACAAAACTAAACACATAAAATTATATTACAACTATCAGGAAACTTCAACCACCATGAGAGATTACCTTTTTTATATAGAAAAGTAGCAATCTCTTCCCCCACATATTTAATTAATATGAAACAGAACTACAACATATTACATGACATGATTTTTTTCTTTTTTTGGCTACTAAAGACCACAAAACTATTTGCTGCAAAATACGTTTTGTGCAAAAATTAAAGAGACTGTATTCTAAGAGAGTAGAAAAGGAAAAAGGAATCATTAACAGATACCCATTGTGAGGAATGGAATTTTTGGGATCCCTGGGTGGCGCAGTGGTTTAGTGCCTGCCTTTGGCCCAGGGCGCGATCCTGGAGACCCGGGATCGAATCCCACGTGGGGCTCCCGGTGCATGGAGCCTGCTTCTCCCTCTGCCTATGTCTCTGCCTCTCTCTCTCTCTGTGTGTGTGACTATCATTAATAAATAAAAATTAAAAAAAAAAAAGGAATGGAATTTTTTCCCCCAACACCTATCCCACTGCCAGCAATGGGAGTGGAGTCAACTTGGTGACATAAAAATTAACATTTTATATTACTTTAAAATAGATAATACCAGATTATTTCCATACTATGAAAAGCAAACATTCACTCTTGACCCCTTAGAAAGGACATACCCCAGAAAATCCTATTCTTTTCAATGTTAATCTGGACAAAGGGAAGAGGATGGTGCAGATGTAACACTTAAAGAGAGACAGAACATACAGAAGAAATACATACAACATTATTCATTTGTTCAAATAATGAAAAATGAATTTATGACACATTTTCCAGGAAAAGTTACATGTCTTGAAATCCTGCAAAAACCAGGTATACAGGGAGGGGTTAAAAACAAAGTCATTGATGAACAATAATCGCTTTTTAACAGAGTTCATGCAATTATCTTAGTTGGAAAACTACTGTCCCAAGTCACCATATTTATGCTCTGCCACGTGATTACTGTGAAAATCAGTTCTTAAAAGAAATTATTCTGCATGTGGTGCTGACAGAGCCCTTGAGAAAGTGCTATACAAACCGAAGTTTATAGAAATTTTTAAGTGATAATCTTAAAATACCATACAAAGATGTGTAAACGAAAAGATGCTTTAGAGTTGCAGGGCCTTATAAAATCTATCATGCAGATGAAGACAAAAGATCATCTTTTCTGCATTTAAAAAATTGATAGCATAACCTTAAAAGTTCAAAATTCCATTTTCAGCAGAAAAAGGCGCTAGATGCACCACTGCATTTCACAGGACCCACGGGATAACTGCAGGGATGCTGGACATCATAAGGGCTTGGCCAGCACGAGCTCCTCATGCTTATAGATGGACATGTGAGAAAGATTTTGCAGCAAGTCTCACCTGGGAAATACTCTAGCATTAAACATTTCTACTCCTCTTTGATCTACCCTGTCAGAGAGGAAAACTGCTTTTAAAAGATATAAACAATATAAATTCTGATAGTAACGCACTGTAAAAATTAGGTATGATATTTTTGGCACAAAGCACTTTTAAAATCTGAGCTTGTTTTGCAAAATATATGTCTGGAATTTCTTATTTGAAAATAAAAACTTTTAACATACACGCAATGTGTAAATGATTTTAGGAATGAATGAATTAGATTCTCTTTCCTTATGTACTGAATATACCTTCAGTATACTTCAGTACCAGATATCTGCATACATACCTCCATATTCTACATTATACAGATATTGCACAAGTAACATTGCCAAAATATACACTAATGCAGTCTGGCAAGATTCAGGGTTTACCTTTCACTATTATTTTTTTTTGTATTTGGATTCAATACTACTTTCCAAAAAAGCTATATGACCAATTTCAGAAATACAATGCTTGCTATCTCTCCTTGGTCAATAATATTAAAATCTGTACCGATATATTTGGGGCTTTCCATTTATGTTTTCCAGCACTTAAAATTCAGCAAAACCTGTTTTTGACATTTTTTACAGCATTCCTTCAAAAACAGGAGAAGCTTCGTCTGATGTAAAAAAAAATTAAAACAAGTCCACAAGGCAGTAATCTTTCCACCAAAGATCTCACTCCACCTGAAAAGCGCTGCAGAACAATATTTAAGTCTTTCAACTTTCACAGAGCCATTAGGTGCAAAGTCTGCTTAAAAAAAAAAAACAAAAACTTGTAACATACCATGACAGCTGGATGCATTTCTTACTGAATTGCACAATATAACTCAATTTTTTTTCCTCCCTAAAACGTTTTAGGGTATGCTACAGCTGCTAAAAGGATTTCTATTTTTCTTGGTCCTCTGTTTGTTGGGTCGAAGATTGATGACATCTCCACCATTAAGGGTACTTGAATTTTGACCCAAGTGACTTCCAGTTGATGTATTAAAGACACCTGTAAATTGAGGAAAAACAGAGAGAGTGATACTGATATAGTTCAGGGTTACCAATTGTACACTGTGTATCCAGCATCTTAGTAAATCAGTAATATTTTCAGTATTTACAACTTTAAGCTTTTGTTTTCATTTCATTTATTTTATAAGTTTTTTTTAAATAAACTCTACCCCTCCTTTTTAAGTAAACACTGGGCTTGAACTCATGACCCTGAGATGGAGTTGTATGTTTTACCAACTAAGCCACCTAAGTGCTCCACGTTTATTTTTAATAGCCAATATATATCGTTTGTCAAAATTCAAAGGGTACAAAAGGGATTACACAGTAGTCTCCCTTCCAAATCACCAGTTTACCTTCCCTAAAGCATGCATGTTTTTCACTTTTCCTGTTTCCTTCCAGAGATATTTTATGCATATTTAAGCAAAAATGCAAATGAATTTTTTCTCCCTTAATTACCAAACTGATGATTAACTGTATACACAGTTCTGCATCTTTTCACTAACAATCTATTTCTGAATTTGCTATCAGCAAGTATGATAATTTTAATAATTTTACTTATCTTTTACATCATATAATTTCCTCAAGAATACCAGATTTGTAGTTCACAACAGTATTTGTGAGATTTTATGTTAATAAAAACATTGCATATGTAAAAGCTGTAGTAATGTGGGATTTTCCTATCTAGGGTAAAACAACAACGAAATGGTCTACAAATAATTAAAGTGGTAAGTAAATTAAAGGATGAACTAAATGAAAACTTTTAACTACTATAGTTCCCATTTTGAACTGTGCTGCTCTTATACTATAATCTCTAGTTTATAAACAATTTATCATAAATAAATAAATAAACAACTTATCCTCCATGATACACAAGTCTGTGCCAGAGACACTATCAGCAATACAAAGATGACTATAACCAATTCCTGCCCACAAGAAGTTTACAATCTAATAAGTGAGGTGAGGTAATATGCAGGTAAGTAATGCTTTAGCTACTCTTCCTTAAGTGTCATAAAAGGGACCCAAGATCCCACAGATGGTTCCAAGGAAGGACCAATTATACCTAATATATAAGAAAGGACTAATAAAAAAGGTAGAACTGGACAACTGGCAATGTATTGGACTTAGATCTCTCTTCATTTAGAAGAAAAGCATAGCAGTCATGGCTTTAGCTAGATATACAGCGAGCGGAGAAAGCTTTCTAGACAGTCCTTGAGGAATGAATAGTTCTTTGACAGGGATGGGAAAGAGGTCATTCTATCTATCTATCTATCTATCTAATCTATTTATCTATTATTATTATTATTTATAAAGATTTTATTTATTTATTCATGAGAGACCTAGAGAGAGAGATGCAGAGACATAGGCAGAGGGAAAAGCAGGCTCCATGCAGGGAGCCCAATGTGGGACTCGATCCCGGGGATTCCGGGATCACGCCCTGAGCCAAAGGCAGATGCTCAACCACTGAGCCGCCCAGGCATCCTGAAAGAAGTCATTCTTGATGAAAGAACCAAAATAAGCAAGAATGAAGAAGATAGTGTTAGAATGTTTAAGATACAGCAAGACCTCTGGCAGAACTGGAAAACGGGTACATATATGAGTGGGGCTTAAGGCCATACAGGATAGATGATATTGTCTTTAGATCTCAGGATGAAGAGAGCTGCATTTAATATTCTCCATAATACAAATCTATCAAAGGGTTTCACTCAGGAAATTGGAAGAGACAAGAATGGAGCTCAGAAGACAAGGCCAGACAGAAGCTTATTACAACTGCCCTATTTTGTTTCACAAAGCATTTGAGGTGTCTGACGTAAGAACATATTCAATAAAAATGGCAAAATAACAACAAAAAGAAGCAAGAACCAAGGGGTAAAAGAAGTTAAAACAGGTCAAGAAAATAATGTGAGTACATGTATGGGGGCGGGGGGGATGTCAAAATACAGATATGGAGTCCCTAAGAGACTACACAGAAGCTTTAGTAACAGAAAATTTGGTTCTCAACTTCCTGGTAGCCATAGCAAAAAACATGACATAGTCCAGTTACTGTTATAGAGAAGACAACATACTTATTCTTTAGGAAATGTTAAACTTTGTAGGCCTTTAGCATTACAAAAAAAAAAATCAGTAAAGTGTCTGGAAATAGTACAAGTATAGTGTCAGAAGAACAAGTGTTGGAGATCCCTGGATGGCTCAGTGGTTTAGTGCCTGCCCTTGGCTCAGGGCGTGATCCTGGAGTCCCAAGATCGAATCCCACATCAGGCTCCCTGCATGGAGCCTGCTTCTCCCTCTGCCTGTCTCTCTGCCTCTCTCTCTCTGTGTCTCTCATGAATAAATAAATAAAATCTAAAAAAAAAAAAAAAAAAAAAAAGAACAAGTATTAAGAGCCCATTTATACATAGGACAGACCTTTAATAAAGTCTTTATCTCTGCTCTCTTAATACATAGAAAATTCAATAGTTAAAAAAAATCTTTTAACTCAATATACCTTCTAATATGAGAGTTGATACTAAGTTTAACAATTGCTAATCTAATACTTTCTAATCACATTTCTTAAAGAAATGAACATATTGGGACGCCTGGGTGGCTCAGTGATTGAGCGTCTCCCTTTGGCTCAGGGCCTGATCCAGGGATCTAGAATCGAGTCCTGCATCCAGCTTCTTGCGAGGAGCCTGCTTCTCCCTCTGCCTGTGTCTCTCATAAATAAATAAATAAAATAAATAAAATCTCTCTAAAAAAAAAAAAAATGAACATATTATATTAAAAAAATAGCAGGGGCACCTGAGTGGTTCAGTTGTTTAAGCATCTCAATATCAGCTCAGGTCATGATCTTGGGGTCCTGACTAAACCCCCATCAGGCTCTGCATTCAGTGTGGAGTCTGCTTGTCTCTCTCTCTCTCCCTCTACCCTTCCCCCCGACTTGCCCTCTCTTTCTCTAAAATAAATAAATAAATCTTTAAAAAAAATAGTAAATATGGGGTGCCTGGGTAGCTCAATCAGTTAAGCATACAATTCTTGATCTCAGCGCAGGTCTTGATCTTAGGGTTGTGAGTTCAAGCCTTGCATTGGGCTCCAAGTTGGGTATGGAGCTTACTTAAAAAAAAAAAAAAAAGAACCCACACAATAAAAAGATGGTTAAAAAATAGTAAATATGGTAATAATGAATGGAAAATAAATTTAGCAGGTAAACATGGGACTGAAATTTCTTGGGTACTTACCAATTTTGTTACTACTTGAATGCATTAATTCTGGATCCTCAGCTATTTGCTGTTTGAGTTTTTGAAGGTATTTTTCAGCCAAATATTTAAAAACTAGAATAAAAGCAAAAGCAAAAATCTTACCAGGTCAGTATAATTTATGCATGTAAAATCTGTTGTTTCATATGACTCACTATAATATTGTATACTTGCTAATGACATTTATTTATTTTGAAATATTTGTATTCTTACATTCATCCTTACTAAAAGGATGAATCTTTACTTCCTTTCCATTTAAAATTAAATCGGAAGTATATAATCTAGTTGAAAAAACTCAACTTTTAAAAATTACTTGAGCATTCAAAAAAAGAATTATTTGAGCAATGCCTAAGTACAATAGTAATTATAAATATATATGGCATTTTATTAGTAAAGAAATGATATAATACTTAGTAGTCATTAGTTTTAGATACTTGAATAGGGATCAACAATCAGCAATACCACATTAACTCAGTCTTGAAAACATATCTCCTTTCTTTAGGTGAAAAAACTATCTAGAAGACACTTGAGCAACAATCAAGTTGCAATCTAACAATATAAGTAGCAGTTCTGGAATGAGAAAAATAATCATCTTTCTCTACTCTCACTTTCTTAAACTGGGAAATATTACTAAACAAATTAAGGTCAGGGGTGCCTGGCTGGCTCAGTCAGTAGAGCACGGGACTCTTGACCTCAGGGTCTTAAGTTCCAGTCCCACGTTGGGGGATTACTTAAAAAAACAAAAACAAAAAACAACTAGGGGAGCCTGAATAGCTCAGCTGGTTGGGCGCTGATCTCTTGGTTTTGGCTGAGGTCATTATTTCATGGGTCGTGGGAATGAGCCCCATATTGGGCTCTGTACTCACTGAGGAGTCTGTTTGAGAATTCTCTCCCTCTGCCTCTCCTCCCTCACCTCTCAAATAAATTAATAAATCTTTAAAAAACATACACATAACAACAAATTAAGGTCATTATAACCGCCTAATGGAACATCCACTATAGTGGAGTTCTCAAACAATTCAGTAATTTAAAAAGGTATCCATGAAAAACACATACATGCATACACAAATATATACAGTTATATTTTTAAAGATAAAAAACAAAACAAAACCCACCGAAGTTTGGCAACAGAGAGTAATAAGTATTCAGAGTCATTAGTAATTAGTTAAGGACTCTAAGAAACATCATGCTTCTAAATTTTACTTAATGATAGGTGACAAGAAAATCCTGTTATTACATATATGACTTCTGGAAACCACAACAGATAAAAATGTAAGAAGAATAAAACAAACTTCTTGCTATTTTTTTTAAGATTTTATTTATTTATTCATGAGAGACACAGAAAGAGAGGCAGAGACACAGGCAGAGGAAGAAGCAGGCTCCATGCAGGGAGCCTGATGTGGGACTTCATCCCGGGACTCCAGAATCACGCCCTGGGCCGAAGGCAGGCGCTAAACTGCTGAGCCACCCAGGGATCTCTATTAATTTTTTTTTAAAGGCAGTTTACCTTCAGTCACATTTAGATCTTCTTTCACTGATGTTCTGTAGAATCTTAGCTTTAACTTTTTTGCCAGTGCCTCGGCTTCCTCACTATGTATCGATTAAAAAAAAAAAAAAAGCACTTATAAAGATACCTTCTGATAGCTTGTTTTAAAAAATCATTTTTATTACATTTACTGAATACAGCTTAGGGGTGTGGGTGTCAGACCTTCCAGACTAGTTGAAAGTTATGTTGTTAGTACGTAAACAGGATTTTTAGTCTTCAGTATTGTTGTGGGATAAACACCATTTTACTGTCAATTCTATGGTCATTAAACTCTAGTCTTAAAATGGCTAAATATCACTTTTTGTTATATAACACTTAAATTAATTTTCTGTTTTTAAAAACATTTGCATTTAATCATACTCTGAAAATCTTACACTGCATTCCTTACTTTACTCTTACTGGCTGTGAAACTACTTTGCTGTCAAAGCCAAAGTCATTAAATTAACGACTGTGTCTATGAGAGCAGACTCCTAATTTTAGTTTTATTATGACTCTGATCTTAGTTTTAATAAGACTGTAGTAGCTCTGCTCTAAAATCATTCCGGATGATTCCACCCCACCCTTCTTCACTTTCTTCCTGGTCTTCACAACCTTGTGTAGTTTCTTCCTACACTGTAATCAAGGTTAGTCAGTGTGATCAATACACAGAAGTGATAGTATGTGACTTCTGAGATTAGGTCATAAGAGACATTAGGGCTTCTGCTTCACTCTGTTTTGAATCCTGCTTGGGGAAAGCTGCTGCCATGCTGTGGCGACACTCAAGCAGCCCTAGGGAGAGGTCCACATGGCAACAGGCCAAGTGAGTGAGCGTTCTAGAATTGGATCCTCTAGCCCCAGTCATGCTTTACATGACTACTGTCCTGTGTAACAGCTTGACTGCGACAACAGCTTGTTTTCATGAAATACCTGAACCAGAAACACATGATTAATCCACTCTCAAATTCCTGACACAGAGAAATAGAAAAAATAAATTTTTATTGAAGGCACTAAGTTTTGGGTTAAATTGTTATACAGCAACAGATAACTAATATAAGAACATAACAAAAAATGAGGTAAAAACCAAGCAAAGATTTTTAAAGCTAGCAAAAAGTTAATAAAACAATGTGCAAATACTTATAGATAGAAATTATCTAGATGCTCAGTTCACAAATTTGAACTGCATTTCTGAATATACAAAACAATACGAATCTGAACTACTTATTTAAAGTCATCAGCATAGGATAGCTACTTGCTCTAGGTATTAAAACATACAGGGATTTTTTTTCCCCCAGGGATGTTTTTATTAACATTCTTATTATATTTAGATTTGACAACATCAAGAGCTGGATTTCCAGTGTAAGACCTAAGACTGGAATTCTAAAAGGCCTTCAAAGTTTATTCCTTGAATTTTGTCTACTTATGATTTCATGTTAATTTTTTTTAACCCAAACCAATCACAAAAAATAGCTCACAGAAAACTTAATTATAAGGCAGTCTCTATAAAAGGTTTCCTAAAATTTTTAAATCTATGCAAAAATTAAAATAAGTTTTAACTTTATAGAATTACCACCTCCCCCTCAAAAGTGAACATCTTACTTCTTTATACAAGAATCATCTAAGAGATCAATCTTGTTTTGGACAAGTACAGTTGGTATATCTCCAACTTCAGCTACTACTTTCTCTCTCCAACTGGAAATTGCTTCAAAAGATTCTCTGTCTGTGGTAGAAAATACAAGCACACAAGCCTGGGCTCCTGTAAGGTCACAAAATAAAAATGTTATTTACATTAATGAAACAATCCTATACAGGATGAGGGCAATTTTTACCTATTCAAACATTTTTTTTAATTTTAATTTTTTAATTTATGATAGTCACACAGAGAGAGAGAGAGGCAGAGACATAGGTAGAGGGAGAAGCAGGCTCCATGCACCAGGAGCCCGACGTGGGATTTGATCCCGGGTCTCCAGGATCGCGCCCTGGGCCAAAGACAGGCGCCAAACCGCTGCGCCACCCAGGGATCCCCTCAAACATTTTTTAAATTGAAGTATAATTAAGATACAATGTTACAGAAGGGGAGGTGGGAGGGGGGTGGGGTGACTGGGTGACGGGCACTGAGGGGGGCACTTGAGGGGATGAATACTGGGTGTTATACTATGTTAGCAAATTCAAATTCCAATAAAAAAATATACCCCCCCCAAAAGATACAATGTTATATTAGTAAATTGTAACAATACAATTTTTATGTAAATGAATATTGAGCCCCTCTTTCCAGGACTCTACTTATGTTTTAACATATAAACACCGTATTTCCATATTCCAAGAACCAGTGGTTCTCAAAATTGTGCACAAGTGTCAAAGTATCCTCAAAACCATACACATTCTTGTTAATTGTTAAATAAAAACTTAGAAGAAAAAAAAACTACACATTCCTTTTGGAACACCATGAAATACTGATATATTGAATATTACAAAAGCAAGAAAGACGGGCAGCCTGGGTGGCTCAGTGGTTTAGCACTGCCTTCAGACCAGGGCATGGTCCTGGGACCCAGAATTGAGTCCCACATCGGGCTCCCTGCATGGAGCCTGCTTCTCCTTCTGCCTATGTCTCTGCCTCCGTGTCTCTCATGAATAAATAAATAAAATCTTTAAAAAAAAAAAAAAAAGCAAGAAAGAATGGTAAGCTAAGTATGAATGATAGACTGTTGCCAAGTTCTTCCTATTTTTTTTTTAAGTTCTTCCTATTAATATCTATCATTTGCTTCTGAATTTCTTTTAACGCAGATTTAGGAAAAATATATGAGGAAACAAATCATAATTTTCTCGTTCTATTTATTTTTTAATTTTTTTTATTTTTTAGATTTTTATTTATTAATTTGAGAGAGAGAGAGAGAGAGAGAGAGAGAGAGTGAGAGCACAGCAGGGGGTAGGGGCAAAGGGAGAGGGTGAAGCTGGCTCCCTGCTGAGTAGGGAGCTGGAAGCAGAAACGGGGCTCGATCCCAGGAACCAGGGATCATGACCTGAGTCAAGGCAGACACTTAACTGACTGAGCCACCCAGGTGCCCATCATTTTATTTACTTTAAAAAAAATTTTAAATTATTTTACTTTAGGAGCAGAATACCAGTGATGTAAACGAAGATAATTTAAGAATCAGTGCCAAAAGTTAAAAATACATATATATTTAAAATAGAGGAAAAAGTTTAATTTCATTTTTATCCTGTTTAAGTGCATAATTCCCATGCTCAAATGATATTTTAAGTTTCAATTATCACATTAGGTTGATAATATCTAAATCAAAAATAAGCAGCAACCTTCTGAAAGAAGCCCTTTTATTTTAAAGTAGGCTCCATGTCCAACTTGGGGCTTGAACTCACGAACCTGAGATCAAGAGTCGCATGCTCTGACTGACAAAGCCAGGTGCCCCAAAAGGTCTTTTATAAATGATTAGATGTTCAATCAAGCAGATAGGATGGTGACAAAAGCAGATATACAGATAACAAGAGTAAACTGCCCTAGGGACAAGAGAATTTCCTGGAACCAAGGCACCTTTTCTTACTATTACTCCTTCCTTCCAGATTTCTCAGGTATAAGTTTCCAACTAAGACTCAAAACATACATACCTGGACTACTTAGGATACCGTAAGGCCAAAATAGGTCTGCTTTTACCATTAAAGGGAATACTATAGTACAAAGCAAAAGAGCATGAAAGAGAAAAACCAGCAGTTAAGTATTACTGTAAAAGCAGAGAAAAAAAAAAAAAAAAAGCAGAGACTTCATATGGGAAAATCTTCCATACTCTAAAACAGATTTTAAACCAAAAAATGTATTAATTACAAAACTGTCTAAATTAATACAAAACTGGGGCTGGGGACAGTGTACACACAGATAAACAGATGCTCCCTGACACTTTGCAGGAATTTAAGAACAAATAAAACTGAGGAAGGGTGCCTGGGTGGGCTCAGTCAGTTCAGTGTCAGACTCTCGATTTCAGGTCAGGTAATGATCTCAGGGTTGTGAGACTGAGCCCCTTGTTGGGCTCCACCCTAGGCATGAAGCCTACTTAATATCTACTTAATATTCTCTCTCTCCCCGTCCCCCTGCTCCCCCTCCAAAACCCAACACTGACAAGATCACACTGGATACTAGTAAATAAACTTATATTTACTTGAACTCTAATATTTACTTAAGCTATAAATAAAAATTATTTAATTATACTTTAAGAAACTGTTCTTTTGGGCAGCCCCAGTGGCCCAGCGGTTTAGCACTGCCTTCAGCCTGGGGCATGATCCTGGAGACCCAGGATTGAGTCCCATGTTGGGCTCCCTGCATGAGGCCTGTTTCTCCCTCTGCCTGTGTCTCTGCCTCTTTCTCTCTCCCTGTCTCTCATGAATAAATAAACAAAATCTTAAAAAAAAAAAACCTAGAATTTTATATCCAGTCAACTGTTATTTAAATCTGAGGGCCAATGGACTCTTACAGGAAGTATACTTTAATAAAAATGTGTAAAAGAAAAAAAAAACCCAGAGATATAGGCAGCAAGAGAGCTTAAGAAAAGCAAAATGTCGTTTAAAAAATCTTTTTTTGGGATCCCTGGGTGGCGCAGTGGTTTAGTGCCTGCCTTTGGCCCAGGGCACGATCCTGGAGACCGGGGGTCGAATCCCACGTCGGGCTCCCGGTGCATGGAGCCTGCTTCTCCCTCTGCCTATGTCTCTGCCTCTCTCTCTCTCTGTGCGTGACTATCATAAATAAATTAAAAAAAAACTTTTTTTTAAAAATCTTTTTTTAAAAAAGATTTGAGAGAGAGCACAAACAGAAGTAGAGGGAGAAGCAAACTCCCCACCAAGCAGGGAGCCCAATGTAGGGCTCAATCCCAGAACCCTGGGATCATGACCCAAGTGGAAGGCAGATATGCCCAACTGAGTGAGCCACCCAAGTGCCCTTGTTTAAAAAATCTTTCTTTCTTCTTAAGATTTTAAGTAATCTCTACACCCAATATGGGGCTCAAACTCACAACCCCAAGATTAAGAGTCAGATGCTCCACAAACTGAGCCAGTCAGGTGCCCCAAAATGTCGTTTAAAAAATAAATGAAAAATGGATAAAAGTATGCCCATAACAACTCCAAAATTATTTAGTGGAGGACTGTGTGGGGAAAGACCAAAGGAATACGGAAAAGTACTAAAATGCCAGTCTAAAAAGGAGGAAGATGTACTATTAATATGTTTAAGCAATCTAGGGAGGTAAATAAACATGAATATGGGTAGAGATACCTGAGTATCACTGTAGCTATGGACAGTTCCTGCCTGTTGTTAATATCCTCAAAGTATACGCTGCAGGTGGCACTCAGCTTTAATTTTCTTTAAAGATTTTATTTATTTATTTGAGAGAGACAACAGACTCACTGCTGAGTGCGGAGCCCAACATGGGGCTCAATCCCAGACCTCCCAAGATTGTGACCTGAACCAAAGTCAGATGCTTAATCAACTAAGCCACCCAGGTGTCCCACACTAGCTTTTCTGCATCTAGGCTTTTTCTGATGCCTCAGAAAGACCCTTGGGTTAGCCCATCCTAAGGGGAACTGATACCTCCAGGGAGAAACTTGAATTATGGGAGATGGTATTAAACTTCAGCTTCACTTTGGTGGGACCATCTTGAGGCAAGGCTACATTACATGGTGCCTCAGAGAAATTGATTCCCCAATTGCCTACAGTAATAATTAGCTCATTAATGCACCTTTCATAGGTTTTTCTCCTTTCTTTCCCCAGTCTCAGTTCTTCCACCCGGGATCACCTACCAAATAAACCAGCCCCACCAAGTTGTACCAAGACCTGTTTTGTAGATTATTTTTGCAGATATAATTCTGAGAAACAATGGACAAAACTACTTGATTTAATTTCCCATAACTGAATATTATCATCCATACATACAGATAAATATTCTGTGGAATTATGATGCATTATGGTTCCTTTCTGCTTAAGAACTTCCCCCCAACACAAAAAAAGTTAAAGAGCTTTTATATAAAATTTTGACTGAGGTACCAATAAAACAGATGACAAATACCAGATTCCAAATATGTGTCGAAAGATCATTCTTTGCAGAGTTTACAAAGGAAAAGACCAAAATCCATTATACAACTTTGGAACTCCCTCAAGCACTTGGAGAAATTTTTTTTCTTTAAGAACTGAGAAGAGGAAAGGATTTCTTTAGAAAAAGTGCTGCCGGGATCCCTGGGTGGCGCAGCGGTTTGGCGCCTGTCTTTGGCCCGGGGTGCGATCCTGGAGACCCGGGATCAAATCCCGTGTCGGGCTCCCGGTACATGGAGCCTGCTTCTCCCTCTGCCTGTGTCTCTGCCTCTCTCTATCTCTCTCTCTGTGACTATCATAAGTAAATAGAAAAAGTGCTGCCCACACCAACCATTCTCTCTCTAAGATTTTATTTATTTATTTGAGATAGAAGAGAGCACACAAGGGGGGGGGAGCAGAGGGAGAGGGACAAGCAGACTCTGCACTGAGCATGAAGCCCAATATGGGGCTCCACCCCATAACCCTGAGATCATGACCTGAGCCAAAATCAAGAATCACACAGTTAATGGAGTGAGCCACCAGGCACTCCCCTTCTCTCTTTTAAGGTGGGGTGCTATGGGGGAGAGTGCTATTATGACTTCTTTCATCTCAACCTAGAAGGACTTCAGCAAGACTACTTAAGTAGCTTGGTATATGTTCCCAGCAATAGGGAGACGCTCTGGACTGAAGGTGCC